GTCTGAGGTTTTGCTCCGACGTCAAAGAACGACGCGACGCGAGACGAGAGCCACGGCTGAAAGGGAACTTTTAATTCGCGGCCTCTGCACGGAAGCAATTCAATTCGAGGGCCGCTCGATTCGTTTCCGGGAGGTGTAGCTGGACGAAAACGAGCGCTCGAAGGTCGTTAAAATCGGCCCATTGTCCGGGGAAACGGTATCGAAGCTTCCTGGGGAAAAATTTGAAACTTGATCTTGAAATTTGTGCAAGCACAAAGCGGAACCTCGAGTGCTCCTCAAGCTTTAACCGCCATTTAAATTTCAAAGCTGGAATACATCTTCTGGTGGAATTCATAATCCTAAGAATTCGACCCTCGAAATTCCCTGTGAGACGTCCTAGATTCGTGCTAGATTTCCATAAACTGCAGGTCCCGATGGATTCGTCCAGAACCACACCCTCTCCAGAGTTTGCAATCCCAAGACGAGCTTCTAAAACGTAGTTTCGAAATAGATTTCTACGGAACTCTCAGATTTTTCAGACCATTCGATTCCAAATGGATCCAAAGAACACCCCTGAGAGCTTGGAAATCGATTTCTTAGCTCTTCTAAAACCAAAGTGGACTTGTACGAGCACTAAAATATTCTCTAAATTAATAATTCTCTAAATAAATTTCTCGAGTCTTCCAAATCTCAAAGAAACGCTCTAAGGGTTCTTCGAGTTTCAAAATCGCTTCCTCGGGTCTTCCACTTCCAAAGTAGGTTTCGAAAGCATTTTCTGAGACCTGTAGCGACCGGTCGTGCGCACATGGGAAAGTTTTTCTCTCGTGCAAACGGCCCACGTAATTTACGACTCTCGTTCGTCGAAGCTGTTTTTGAGGAAGATATTTTCCAGACTCGCGTATCGAATGCGTTTAGTAAATTCTTTTCCTACGCCCCTCAACAGCAAATAGAGACCGTCGTAAATTAGGGATTTCCAGAGGACACTCGACGCGTACCCATCGGAGTTTCGCCAAGTGGGCCCAGCGCGGGTGGTCCGAAGGAAATCTTGCAGTGAGGGCGCAACGTCGTCCCCCTCAATCACCACGCCGTTTCGAAAACAAGCACGCCGTGGGCGTAAGAAATAGGCGGTGATTTGGGAAAAATAAACGGTCCTGATTGGAAAGGCCCAACGCGTGGGGATAACCAATCAGGGTTGTTTAACAATTTTGCCAGTGCAACCGAGGGGTCGACACGGAGACGAGCGAGGAATAACGACACTTGGTTTTGCGCGCTCTATCCGAGAACAACGAAAAATAAAGAAAGATTTGTCACCCCACAAGAAGTGTAGTTCCTACAACAACCTATCCCAACAGACCTTTGAAAATTTCAGAATTAATTCCATAAGCGTTTTAGTAGACTCCTAACAAACTCTCGAGATACAGAGCAGGTTTCCGAGACATCTGCGAGTTTTAAAATCAATTTCTTAAGTCTTCCAACCCCCAAAGAGGGTAACTACGAAATCCACCGCTTGCGCAGTAGACTTCCAAGAGTTTCTCCAGTCGCAAAATCACTTTTGCTCTTTTAGTTGCAAAGTACCGGAGGAGCCGTTGAAGTCCATAGGAAATTTTGATCGCGTCTACGACTCCCAAAATGAATTTCTCATACTTTCGACTTCGCGCGGTAGCTTCACGATAGATTCCATCAGGTTCAGCGAGTTTCAAAATGGCAGTCTCAAACCTGTTATCTTCCAAGTAGATTCCTAAAGGTCCCCCAAGTTCCACGGTAAATTTCAAAGTGCTCCTCAAGTTCCAACGCAGATATCTAAAGGTCTGCCAATCTCCTATCAGATTCCTCGCGAAATTCTCCGGTTCCATAGTAAATTTCGACCATACGAGTTTTCAAGTAGGTCTCGCGGACTCCCCCAATCTCGAAACAAACCCTCGAAGTCTCGAGTTCTACGATTCTTAAGGACCCATCGACGAATAAAACTCGATTGTAACTTTAAAGCGACCGGTTTCCACGCGTCTTGCGGTACCGAAAATATCGTGGAAGGCTAAGCCGCGTGCGTTGGGGATAATTCGCGCGTGGAAAGCGACCTGGACGAACTGCGCCTGCAGGTTTACGAGCCGCTGACTAACCGGGGCTGGTTAATTGACCAGACGAGCTGCGGACAAAGCAACCACGCCGTCCAGAACCGCGACATTGTTCGAAACTCTTCACGCTCGGTTCAACCGTGTCCGAAACGCGGTCTCCTGGCGGGGTTAATTAGACACCATCGTCTCGCGAAACGTTCTCTGAATCGTAGCCACGACGACAGACGTAGCCACGTCGATTCAAAACTGGTTGTGAATAAAAAAAATGTTAGGGGCGGCTGAAAAATTAGTGGCTCTTAAATTACCTATCTGGAGAGGCAAAACGAGACGTTATGGACAATTGAGAGTCGATGATTTTTCAATATTTTATAGAGCACGATGTTCAGAAAGAATAAATCCTTTGAGAAAGAACGACCAAAAACCGGAGAATGAGTGTTCTGTTTGAAACTAGACCGTGTAAACCCGGTTCGTCGACATTCTGCACTTCTCGTAGAGGGGAACGAGAGAGCACACGGAGACCGTCTTCCGGCGGATGCAGTGACGGAACTCGACCCCGTAAAACCGAGGTCACGGGACGCTGATTGGCCACTCGAATCGGTGTACCGAAACCGCAGTCGGTAGCTACTTTGATGGCGCGTCCTTGTCCGTCGTCGTTCGTGACCAAATCGTGCGACTGCTCGTCCTTCATAGTCGCCACGCCTCTCCCACAGAATTTCTAACGAAAGTTACCAACGCGATGGAAAACTCGCGCTGATTTTCCTCGGACGAGAGATCCATGGTTCCTGATCACGTTCCAGCGAGATTACGTCAGAATCCAAAAACAGACACCTTGGAAAACCTGGACGCTATCAAAAGGGACGCAAGAACGTTGTGCAATTGTAACTTGATCAGACAAAGTAATTGGTTCACTGTTTTTGGTCTCGGATTCTTCAGAAATTATTAAACTTCATTGTCTTCGTCTATCGATCTGTGTTTTTAACTTGAAGTTAGGGGTTTCCTCTGCTGTATCTATATTGTTAACAATTATTTAATACCAATGGAAGGCCTGACGCTATCAAAGGGGGCGTAAGAATGTTGTACAACCGTAACTTGGTCAAACAAAGTAATAATCGGTTCACTATTTTTGGTCTCAGATTCTTCAGGAATTATTAAACTTCATCGTCTTCGTCTATCGATCTGTGTTCTTAACTTGAAGTGGGGGGTTTCCTCTGCTGTATCTATATTATTAACAATTATTTAATACCAATGGAAGGCCTGACGCTATCAAAAGGGGCGCAAGAACAGTGTACAACCGTAATTTGTCAAACAAAGTAATCGGTTCACTGTTTTTGGTCTCAGATTCTTCAGGAATTATTAAACTTCATCGTCTTCGTCTATCGATCTGTGTTCTCAACTTGAAGTTGGGGTTTTCCTCTACACTATCTATATTATTAACAATTATTCAGTTCCAATTGAAGGTAACTTTAAAAATGAAAATTGAATCATTTGCGATGCTAAAAAGCTGACCAAAAAATTCCGAAAGAGATTTAAAATACGGGAAGCTAGCGAACGCAGTGGTACTGTATTAAACGCGGCCGCGTAAATGCAAACAGAGGAGCAGAGCGATATTAGAGACGGCTTTATCGAGCCAGACGCGCGTGAATTCTTTCCGTGCAGTTTGTTCCCCGCGGAAAATCATCGCCGTTGAAACAAATTCTCCCCCGTTTTCGCCTTTTTTCACCCCCTCGATACGCCCGGACAAATCCCGAACATCTTCGCGTGCGAACAATTCAGATTTATTCGAGCCCGGCGCTGATATAACAGCGGCGATAACTCGTCGACGAGGTCTACGGCGCGGCAATTACCACGACTCATAAAGCCACCTAATTAACCGTGCTAATTAAAGTAATTCCGTTCGTTAATTCAATTTAGTAGACGGGCGAATTCCGGGGACGAGAGTCAGCGTTACGGGGACACTCCCGGCTTGTTAATTCCTGGCACCCGGGTTAGTTGACACAGACCCCACAGTGCACATCTTTCGGTCACGAGGACTCTGATGGGTTTCGAATTCTCTAAAAGCTCGCGAACGCGTCCCTATGGACGATTGCAGTCTTAAAACGGCAGACTTCGACCTCCAATTCTGCGTATTTTCCGTCGATGGTTCTCAGATTTTTGGTAAAAGTTCTCGAGAGACTTGCAAAAATTACAATCGTACCATGAAACGTCAATCGTTTTTTTAACGGAAGATGATTCCTGAGAAGCTCACTGATCGCTTCTGGGAATTTAGTTATTGTCAATTGTACTCTAAGATACCAAGGAAATAAGAACTTTGGCTTTAGTTAGGATCAGTCTTCGTGTTCGTAAAATTGTTTACGAGACCAAAACTTTGATTTTAGACAATTGTAAACTACACAACTTAAAAGTTGTAGTAGTAGTTACCTTCGTAACCCCATTAAAATTTATGAAGCTCATTAAAATTTGCTTTCTCTAACATTTCAACTTGAGAATTAATTGCTTCAGTTCCACTGTTAAAAGTTCTGTCACCCATATACGTGGTATTTTTTAAATATCATTTTCTGAAATGTCCTCGGCCCATGTTGGCACCGTTTACCAAGGCTACCGTAACTTCCAAGATATTGAATATTTTTGTACGTGTAAAAATTGTGGATATTCTTCAAGCATAGATCTAAATATATGCGTCGAAACTTGATACAAAAATACTTCAGTGTTCCTCCCCCAAAATTCCAACCCATCGAAAGATTACGTTCTACTACCCCCTTGATTGATTCATGAATTTTTGCTTAATTACATTTTCTACGCTTCGATTATACCGGAACCATTTTTTAGTGCCATCGACGATGTAGTTCATTCCGTACAACAGACATCCCGCCCCCAACGACATTGAGTAATTTCCAACTAGTCTTAACGCTAGGTAAAAGAAATAAAAATGGTAACGAAAGGATAACTCACGATAGCCTGTTGGTCCACGCCGTTTGGAGGCGGTGGGGGACTAAAACTGGCCGCGGTGGGTGCACCGGGAGCTGTTTGGTGTGGGGCACCTGCTGGCGGTGGCACCTGGGGCCCGCTGGGCGGTGGCTGCTGGGGCGCGCCGCTGTTGTCTTCTTTGACCTGGACTGGCGGTGGTGGTTTCACTTCACCGGCTGCTCCAGCCGCCCCCACGACGCCCGCTACACCATTCACCGGCGGGGGGAAGACACCCCCACCGTAGGGCGCAGCCATTCCTGTCTGCACCATGTGCTGCAAGCAGAAAAAACTCTGTTTAGTCGATATACTTCCACTTAACCATTTTAAGATTTCGACCACCGAAGCAGTTTCCCGAAAACAAGCATAAAACTTTCAATGTTGCGCTAAATATTACCAAAAATTAAAAAACAGACTTCACTCTAGGAAGATCCATCAACTTTCGTGACTTTGTTTGGTCTTCCTCTTCTTGAACGAATTGCAAGTGATAGCTGTTCCTTACAGTTATTCTTATTTAACCCTTTGCACTCGGAGATTTTTCTTCGATCACCTACTGCTAACTCAAACACACTTTCTTACGAAATAGATAGTAAATATCCAAGTAAACATATTGGTTTACATTCTTGCTTATAATCATTTCAAAACAATAATATCGTTGTGTTTCCTCAGAGGGTACATCCAAATTCTTTGCTGGATGTCTCTTCAAAAGAGACAGCCAAGTGCAAAGGGTTAATCCATATAATAATCCTGAAGAGAACCAATAGTTGACCACGACGTTGATTTGATCTAATATACCAAACAAAGAATCCACGAGATGGTCAATATCATTCAAAGGTACCAGAAGATTGGGTTAGCCCATATAATAGTCCTGAAGAGAACCAATAATTGACCACGACGTTGATTTGATCTAATATACCAAAAAACGAGCAGTCGTTGTAAGAATCCACGAGGTATTCAATATTACTCAAAGGTACCAGAAATTTGGGTTAGTTGATATAATAGTCCTGAAGAGAAGCAATAGTTGACCATGACGTTGATTTGATCTAATATACCAAAAACGAGGACTCGTTGCAAGAATCTACGAAGTAGTCAATGTCGTTCAAAGGTACCAGAGGACCCTGTCAGTCAGGGTCTCGTTGTTCAATCATTAAAGCGAGTAGGAGGGTTAGGAGCACCTAGGTATCAGAGTCTCCAGATGCCTGAGTGTCTGGCAGATATCGGAATTCCTACGGTGGTACCTAGACGTCGGATCGGCCACACAAGAGGCTCGCGAGTGCGCTTTAAATAGCTCTGACCCGGCCCTCGCTCGAGTAAAATTCAAATAAATATTCCATCTGGCCGACCCAAACAACACTTTATTTTTGCATTTTAAATGCGACGAGACGATGATTTGTGCCCGTATGCATTCTTCGCAACGCGAACGGTAAATAGGCTCGATGGCTGGTATTAAAAGTGGATGCCGCGGACAAGTCGCAAATCATTTTGCGTGTTGCACGCGCAGCGATTAGCGACATGCTAGAAATGCCCCGTTTTGTTTGCTGTTCGATAAAAAAAAAGCACGGGCGTCGGGTCGGGGAAAAGAAAAAACCATCCGAAGAAAACTATTACGGGGGGGATGATCGTTCCTCCGGGGTTCCAGCGATCGATGAGGCCGTTTCTGATCTCTGAAACATCGATCGTGGCCCAGTTCCGTTCTCTGAAATTAATTATTACCCAAGCAGATGCCGTCCTATACGGGGAGAATATGTAGCAATCAGTTGAAAGCTCTATTCAGAGATTATTTGCGCCCGGCATAAATTGCGTGCACGACGGCCGAGCGAACTTTCATGGATGTTTTCATTCGCGAAATGACGATCCAGAAACGGGGGGGCAGAGTAACGGATTATTGTCGAAAACTGACAATACGCTTATTCGGGTACACGGCAATCTAGAGTGAAAGCTTCCTCCCCATCTGCAGAGTTATTCTATTTTTTTTTTTGTGACCAAACTCCCACCTCAACGCCACGATTTAGGCGTCCCAAAACTCAGAAAAAAATATAACATGGTTCAAATCAATCGAATCACCACGAACAATGAAGGATCTATCCTCTTTGCGTCGACCCCGTCTAGAAAAATGACACAAGGCGAACGCGATTACGTAACCTGGAGGATGTCAGCGATCTCGAGCCGGTAGGAAAAGCGTTACGAATGCAGATAGTATTCCGTAGCCCTTAAGGTCTGCAAATGGAACCGATTTCTCTGGCAACCACAATAGAAACAAACAGCACGGGCATAACTCCCGCGAGACAGGTTACAGATGGTTTGTCCAGTCCGCTCGTCTTACGAGATTGTTCCGAAATACCCTGGGTCTGTGTGCCTCCGGAGGAACTAAGTTTCCCGGAAACCATTTGTTACATGCCCCCGCACCATGTCTCTTTTTTTTTCGAAAACTCAATTCCACCGGGTTGCACCGATCGAACCAACCATTTACTATTTACTATTTACGGGAACGATAGCCGAGAGTTTCACGAATAAATATTGGATACCTTTCCTTTTGGAGAATCGATGCTACGCACTTAAAATACTGGAGCAATTACCGAAATTCTCTTGATCTTCGTTTGTTTACATTCCACATCCCCTTTAAAATAGAATGTTTGTTGTAAGGTGGTATATATACTGATTTTTGGAATGCCAACGAAACAGAGATACTAATAAAATAATTACGAATATAGAGCAGGGTTAACAGCGAGAGAGATCAAGAAATTGCTTCTCGACGCTTCAGACTGAAAGCAATGCGTCTCGATGAGTTCCGCGAAGTGGTCTGCAGTATAGGCGAGAAGGGCCTAACGAGCTGTACGAAGGAAAATAAAAGGGAGGCGCAGACAATGGTCGAAAAGGGTGGCTCCCTGGATGCTGGGCTGAGAGGCACAAAGAATGAAGACCGGTGGAGATCCGCTGTTGAAAGGGTCGCGATGAACGCGCGGGAATCGACCCCGAAGAATCGCGGTGATTCTTTCCTCGCGTTCTTATCTCGCGGAAGAGCGGCTCTATCCGCAAAGGAGACGGAATAAAGGGGATGGACGGGATCCCCGCGACCTAATTGCCCACGGTGCAGTGTGTCATCGGGTTAACCCACTTTCTTGCCAACCCCTTTATTGTTCCCCAGGAATAATGGCGCTCGAAGGACCCCGGAACCCGCGGCTCCGCGCGCGAACCTGGCAATTTGGCGTCCCCCTCTGATTTTAATAACGTAGTCCTTGAATTTAATTGCACCGTCCGCGGCGACGATAAAGGAGGAACTTTTTATCGGTGAGTATCGTCTCGAGGAGCGCCCGTTAACGGGAACTTTTTATCGGGTACCGCGAATACGAGGGTTCTACGACGAAAAATAACACGCGGACGTCGTTATCGAGCCGCGATACGAACGTTCTCCGGATTCTCGAGGAAACTCTGCGTCTAATAAGCGTTTCAACGGTTCCACGTCCGGCTTTTTGCGCCGCGGAGATCGCTGGAACTGTCCGCGAGAAATATACAGGGGACCATTCTCCTCCGGGAGCACCAGACCGCGTCCACGTAGTTGGAGCTTATGGTTATTGCGTGCGAAACGGGAGGACAAGGGCCGAGCGTTAATGCATCCTCTCCGAGAATCGAAGGAATTCTTTCGATGGGACAAAGTGAGAATCTGAAGCTCCATACCCAAAATCCAAATCTGATCCTCGAGCGGCCACGAGACCCTTGTACCCTCGTTTAGGACTCTATTCATACTTAGAACATTATGAGCTTCGAAATTTCTAAAACCTTTCTAAAATCTTGATCCTTTCGGAGCATTAGTCTTCCCAGGATCATTCAGAGACTAAGAGCATTTGGGCCCGCAGGCAATTACGTGCCTTGGAAACTTGCGTTTCTCTGTCGTACCATCGGGAACCGAGAAAAACGAGACGCGTTGCATGTACCATTAATTTTCCTCCCGAGCCAACTGATTCGTTATTGCACACTGCGATGCGTTATCGACCGAGGCGCGGATATTGCAGGGACCCCCTTACCGAGTGAGCTTGGACCACCAGCAGATGATGGTAGATGGGACGAACGCTGGAGGGACTGCCAGACGTCCAGGCAATTCGCGATCGCCATGGGAAATGACCACTGTATTGACGTACTGCTGACGTTGTTGTGACGCAGCAGTAACGCGATACTAACACCTAGTGACGTAACAGCGTCAGTTTTCATATTAAAAATCACCATTTGTATGCTTACAGTGGTCATGTAGGATCCACTGGTCGACCGGAAGTGAAACGATTCTTCGTTACGACTCCTACGCGCCTCTCCATTCTCTCTTAACGAGAATCGCAGCTTCTCGAAAGACTACTTTCACTGTACCGCGTTAGCGTCAGATAGTAAACGGATCCTTATTGCGTGTTTCCATCGGTGCGTTTGCCTGTTCGTGCGAGGACACGCCTCTTTTTAGCGTCCCCTTTCATGTCGAGTTGTTCACGGTGGACGAGTACCGCCGGACGCGAACGATAAAAGGCCCCTCCCCTGCTCGATCCTTCTTCCTCAAATAGTAACTCATTAAAGTATCCGCACGTGTAGAGTACTCAGCGACTGGGATGTCTAGAATTAGGGTTCACGTTCATCTTTCCCAGGCACTCAGGGTCCTAGCAATCAAGGTGTCTCTAGTAACAGAGCTTAACTCCTTAACTCAGGGTGACACAGAAGGGTCCAGGGATCCTCGCATCGCGCTGGAGTTGAGTTCCTTTATCCCCAGTTCAGTAACCCCTGATAGAACACGTTCATGACCTTTAGGTCGGGGTTATAGGCCTCTGGCCTGGATACTTATGAGCTGCTCCACGATACTTTACGGGTGCCTATAGTCTATACTTATAAGCTCTATAACCGTAACACCTATAGTCTCCTTCCTCCCAAGCGTGTAATATCGAGAACTCCCCATTGCCTAGGTGCAGAAATATATGACGCCGAGGTGTCCAAGGTACTATCGAAGCACTTAAGCATCGAGACACGTCCAGAGATCTACGTCTTCGGGGGCGCAGCCTCCCCCGGTTCCCCAGCGCCTTGCGCTATCAATATTGCGATAGGGAGTCACCTTGTCATCCTTGTACGTCGTTCGCGACACAATGAGGACGCCTCATCCCCGACCGTGTGGGGGCGTCGCATCCCAAGTCGTCGGGGCGACGCGAGTCGAATAACTAATACGAACAGACCGCAGAAATTAAGCTCCGGAGAAAGAGAACCTCCTCTCCCCGTCAACCGCTCTCTCTTGGGGTTCGATTCTACCACGA